TTATTATGACACTGTTGCTGAACTTTCAGTGAGTGCTTATTACTATATTGTTATTGCTTAAACAATCCATTAAAAACTGTCATTCCAAAGCAAACATTGATATGCAACTAAAACAACAGAATCAATGAGTACAAAGAGATTCTTGTACTAAACTATCAATACCTTATCCTACTTCTCATAGCTCAATTGGCAGCCTGTATGTTTCCTTTACGAGAAACTGGTTTTGAGGTGAACAAAGAAATAACCTTGAAAAGCACCTGGTGGAGGTTTTATTAATCCCCTCGGGGGGTCATCTCAAGGTGCTATATAGCAGTATATATATAGCGCATATACTGCATTGAAATGTCATCTTAGACTATGTGAAACCAAATCCAGAAGTGGGGCTTGAACCCAGAACCTTCTGACTCTGAGACGAGAGAGTTACCAACTCAGCAAGTCTAACCAATACTGATTTAAGATAAGATGGGATCTCAAGCAACAGAGGTGGAAACTCTAGTTGATTTTTTTTCTACTTCCAAAAAAAGTGAGAGACAGCAATAAACATGGTAAAAAGGGTGCTGGACTACATTTCTAAATCAGTGGAGGTCAATTCATCAGAAGTTCACTGAGAAGCAATGGAATTAGACAGGACTGACGGAATTGGACAAATTTTGAAACAAATACAGAGATTACATTTGTTTTACATTTTTTTCTTCAACCGTGCCTTCAGCTCCCATCTTGACTTTCAACCCCCTCCTCGCTCCCTCCCTTCCCTCCCCTCACCTTGACCATTTCCTCCCTGCTCAGGTCCCGACCCAAATGTCCAGACCCTTGGGACATCCTCCCGACGTGAAAGGCGCTCTATAAATGCAATCATGTTGTTGTTGTTACCATTAGGTAATAGATACAAACAAGGAACCGGCATTTTTATAGCCCCTTCTCGTGTTGAAGTGTGTCAAAGCGCTTCACAGTAATTACTGACAAGTGTAATAATAATAATCCTTACATTTGATATAGTGCCTTTTCAGGTCTTCAAGACCTCTCAGCTTTTCACAGAATATACTGTAAAGTGAATTGTTTTGTGGGCCAAATGCACACAGTAGTGTCCCACAAAATACTCGTGGATTAAGTACCCAATTTATTATTTTCTTGTTGTTTTTTGAAGGGACTTTACCACCGGAAAAGCGATCTGCTAATCGACTAACAACCGGGTTCCTTCTTACTGAAGGATAATAATCCCTCCAAAAGCAAAAACAATAATAAATTGGTCATTTTCAATCTACGACTGTTTGTGGGACATTGCTGTGCGCAATTGGCTGCCGCGTTCGCCCACAAATATACAGTCAATTCACTTTACAGTGTGTTCTGTGAAGCGCTTTGGGACGTCCTCTTGACGTGAAAAGCACTATATCAAATGCAAGGATTATTATTATTATTATTACTGCTAGGTAAACAGAGGCTTGTGGAGTTAGGAAACTTGCGCAATATTTTGCCCTGCCTGGGAATCGAAACAATATGCTATAGGCCTCCACGTGTAGAAAATTTTATTTTGATAGGCAAACACAGCAAACATTTGCACATAGCAAGAACCCTCAAAGAGTTGTTAAAAGAGACAGCTTTCAAATTAAGACTGGATTTAACAATTTTCCATAATGCTACGTTTTAAGAGAATATAAGGCTCACAGGCTAGATGGAATTTTGAGACGTCTCAAAGCGCTTCACAGGATATACCGTGACGTGGATTGATTGTTTTTTGGGCTTCTTAAATGTAAAGTTCACAGCTAATTTCTACTGTTGAAAAACGTACGTCATTGGGGTCTCGTTGTCTCTGCCAACTGCCCTTCCCACGATAAGTCACCTTAAAGTTTTGTTAATCAACAGTTCCTTCACATGTCCATTCACCACACCTGCTGAATATCCAGTGTCATTTGTACTTGTACTTGCTTCTACTAATCATCCTCTGGCGGGAGGGGAGATAAGAGGTAAGCAGGGTTTCCTTGGACCTCAGCTGGCTTCAAGTTGATGTGTTTGGAAGTGGGATTAAGTTAACCTTCTGTGAGGGGCTCCATTTCCTGAGTCAGGTGGCTCCACAATTCTCTAAGGCACTGATCCTGGCTCATCAATAGGACTCGGAGAAACAGATGAGTCACTGTGGGAAAGGATTCCTCACCCTCTGGAACTCCATCCCACAGGCCCCCTGCCTCGCCCCTCCCTTGCCTCCATCAAGACTTGTTTCAAGACCCTCCTCTTTGACCCTGCTTTCGGTCACCTTCCTATGCTCCCCGCTCTCCACACCTGCTGATCCCAACCTCCAGCTCGGGTGCGTATCCCTGACTGTCCAGTGCTTTGAGACTTCGTCCTGGCATGAAAGGCACTATACAAATGTAATTGTGTTGTTGTTATTAACCCTGCAAACCAAAACCTAATGAATAAGATGATCCTAGACGGACAAGCAACAGGAAACTTGTCAGTCAGTGCTATCAGTGGCAAGTTATGTGGTTTTATCTGGTTAGACGCCACCTCATACACTGGGATTCCCAATTCTTGGCACTGGCCAAAGCATCTGAATATGTCAAAGCAGCAACAACAACAACAACAAAATTACATTTGTATAGCGTCTTTCACGTCTGGAGCAGGATGTGTCCCTTTGGACAGAGAGTTTCCATGTGTAGGTGGCATACCTCCATGGTCACTTGGCTAATCAGAAACAATGCTTCTAAAAATAGAACTAAAGATAAAATTCTGTGACAAAGAAATTGCCAAGCCCCATAAATACACAAACACGCACAATGTGTCACACCGCCAAACTAAATACTCAAGGAAAATTCCAAGTGCAAGAAAACTTTCCTGTAATAAAAATAATTGCTCAATCTGCAGCTTCCGCTGCTCCTTGGGGCAGGGCAGATAATAGAGATGAGCTTATGCTTATGAAAGGCTAACTTGGTGCCCATTTCCTGCTTCACTTGGCCTGAGGGATTCTGCCCTTCATTGCTGAGTTTCATGACTTTTCGCACTAAATTCTTTGCTTCTTCAGAAACGTCAGCTCCTCCTTGCAGGACAGGAACCTGTAGCATATTGGGTAGATAACTCACCTCGCCCACGAGAGGCCCTATTAATTCCCGGGTGGGGCGAATCCTTAGGCACATTTCTTTTAACAATTATTTTAATTCAGTTTCCTCGCGTTACCGACCCACCCGCCAGTGGAAATAGTTTCTCCTTGTTCACCTTATCGAATCCCATCATAATTTGAAAACTTCTATTAAATCTCCTCGCAATCTTCTCTGCTCCAAGGAGAATAATTCTCGCTTCTCTCGCCTCTCCTCATAACTGAAGTCCCTCATTCCTGGTACCTTTTTGGTAAATCTCCTTTGCACCCTCTCCAATGCCTTGGCATACTTCCCAAAGTGCGGTGTCCAGAACTGAACACAGTCTCTAGCTGAGGCCTAACTAGTGATTCTTTTACATTCTTTTGGGGGATACTTTTCAATCAAATAGACAGAAAAATGATGTTCCTTTCTTGTATGATAGTTTACTTTTCACTCGTCACGTCACACATCCTGTCCCATCTTGTGGGAATTTCTATTTGCTTTTCGCCCTTGATGGATATCGAAATTTCACTTGTGTGTTTCAGACAAGAACAATGGTGAACCTGCTACATGTGTGATATCATGTTCACAAAATGTCCAGAACCTCGGTTTTGATTCCAAGGCAGGGTGAAACCTTAGATAAGTTTCCTTACTCGACAAGCCTCGGTTTACCTAACAGTAAATAGGAACCCGGTTGTTAGTCGATCGCATTTCAAATAATAATAATTAATAATCCCTTAAAAAAAACCAGAAATAATAATAATAATTTGGTCACTCAATCCACGACTGTTTATGGGACACTGCTGTGTGCAATTGGCTGCCGCGTTTCGCCCACAAAATTCACAGTCGATTCACTTTACAGTATATTCTGTGAAGCGCTTTGAGATGCCTCGAACAGTGCTAAGAGACTGTATCAAATCCATGGATTATTATTATTATTGCCTTTTTAATTCAAAACATACATCAAAATATGACAGATACCACTTCACAATTATTGCCCACAAAACATACAGTCAAATTCACTTTACAGTATATTCTGTGAAGCGCTTTGAGATGTCTCAAGGATGTGTTATATCAAATGCCAGAATTATTACTATTATTCAGTTCTGACGAAAGGTCACAGGACTGAAACATTAACTGATTTTCCTCTCTCCATCGATGCTGCCTGAGCCGCTGCATGTTCCCAGTGACTTTTGTGTTTTTACCAGATTTCCAGTATCTGCAATACTTTGCCTTTTGTTTATTATTATTATTAAATCCCAATTATTCATACCCTCAACGGAACATATATAAAGTGATAATCCTTACTGTAAACCCCAGTTATCAAAGTACTTCCAAAGCAACCCTTCCAAGGGTCATGTTCTAACCCACCCCCACCCTAACCCCCTTTTTTTTCACATCAATACTCTTTTTTTGGCCAATTTACAATTAAATCATCGACTGGCCATTACGTCAAGGCATACATGAGCAAAACAGTTGGCGGAGACAGTGTTACACCCAATAACAGGTGCATGCGCACCGTAGAACATGATCAGGACAGGCATGCCACCGGTTAAACCACAGTAAACTCCTGCTAACTTGACACTTCGAGGAAAAAGAACTAAGTGACAAGTTATCAGGAGTGGTGAGCAGGCATATGTACAAATACATAAATAAATGCGGCCGGAATATTGACAGCATGATGAGTTAAATTAAGTGATTGTGACAAGTTAAGCCAGAGTCAAGTTATCAAAAGTTTACCGTGAAGTTCAGTGACTGATTATTTTGCAGGTAAATGCCTGATGTAACAAAGAAGCATTGTGAGTTTGCAGGCAGAACCTTTTGGTGAAAATATCCTATTGCTAAAGATGAGGTTTGGGAGATGAGAGCAGGTTTTCTGCTCTGAAACATTTGAAGTTCTTATACTCAGTGATATACGGTTCCACCAGGCTGTGTGAAACACGGAAGTGAAGGAAGGATCTTTAACCCGATCGCTTCCAAAGGCTGACAGCACTTACACACCGACATTATGGGCACTTTAAAGGCCATTGCTTCTGCAGGATTCCGCTTTCACACTCTCTATCGTCAGGTAAACCTTTCCTTCCCTTGTCAGACGTGTTTCCAAAATCAACCGCAACACAGAAATGCTAAGTAAGAGAGAAAAGAGCTTCCGGGGGGGGCGTTCCTGCACTGCCGAGATGCTGTGGCTTTGAAATGAGCATCTCAAAGAGAAAACGGTGTTGCTGTCACTCTCTGTGGGCAAACTTCTTTCTACCTCTCTCTCTCTCCCTCTCTCTATCTTTACATCAACGTGACTCTTTCACTCCTCTATTTGGAGAAAGGTGTCGGTCACAGGCTGGGAAACGGTGAAACAACATTCACTGAGAAAGGGAATAAGCAAAGTGTAAATGTAAGTGTTTTATAAACTGCCTGGCCAATTGTTTTATAAACAAAACACAAAATACTGCAGATGCAGGAAATCTGAAAACAGAAGTCGCTGGGAACACTCAGCAGGTCAGGCAGCATCTATGGAGAAAAGAAAGTGAGTCAACGGTTCTGATCCACAACCCTTCGTCAGAACTGGGACATGTTGGGAGGGAGCGGCTTTTAAAGACTAATAGAGAGGGGGGAGGCAGGGCAAGGAAGACAAAGGAGAAAATGGGGATGATGGGTTAAAGAGGTGATAAATGGTTTCAGAACAAAGTAGGGAGGTTGCAATCAAGCAGGGAATATAGGTATTAATACTGCAGAAGAAAAAGTGGGAGAAAAGAACTTGCAACAAAACAGGCAGATCAACGACAACAACAAAATTACATGTGTAAAGTGCCTTTCACGTCGGGAGGACGTCCCAAGGCACCGAACAGACAGAGTTACGGACCCGAGCTGGGGGTCGGGGTGGGGGAGGGTGGAGGGCAGGGGTGGGAGGGGGAGATCAGGGAGAGAAAAGGTGTGTCTGGAACCAAGATGATGTGGTAATGGTCACAGAAGAGGAGGAGGGGGAAGGTGAGCTGTTCCGTAACATAGATACTGCCTGACCTGCTGAGTGTTACCAGCGACCTCTGTTTTTGGTGGCCAATTGTTTAACTCTTCTCAATGCGTCACTGCCAGCTGATCTCAACAAACTAAGTACAGTACAGCATTCCTTCATGCTCTGGCATTTTGAATCCATGAAAACTGGGTGGACCTCACTTCCTGCAGGTCAAATGAGATTAAAACATAATCCATTCAAAATCTCTGAGTGGAGCAGTGAATAGCAGTCACCCAAAGCTGTACTGTAATGTCAGGAAGTCAAATTTCACATGAGACGTTAAATCGAAGTCATACCTGCCTGTTCAGGTGGATGTTAAAGATCCCATGGCACTATTCGAAAAGTGAAGGGAGTTTCCACCCGGTCGATATCCTGGCCAATAATTCCCCCAAATAAAATTTTCCACACCTCGCTCCGTGACCCTATCAACTCCACCCTCACCCGGCTCCACTGGCTCCCCATCAATCAAAGGATATAGTTCAAAATCCTCATCCTCGCCTTTAAGGCCCACCGTGGCCTTGGCCCCTCTTAACTCTGTGACCTGCTGACCCCATATCAACCTGTTCGCTCCCTCCGCTCAGCAGCCTGTGACCTGCTCAACGTCCCCCACCCGGCCCACCCCACCATCATCGGCCGGGCCTTCAGCCTCTCGACCCCCATTATTTGGAACTCCATCCCACAGTCTCTTCGCCTCACTCCCTTCCATTGCCTCCTTCATCTCAAGACCTTCCTCTTCGACCACACCTTCGGCCACTCTCCTACACCTCTCTCCCCCCTTATCCCAAACCCCAGCTCGGATCCAAATCCCTGATTGTCCAGCTCCTTGATACGTCCTCCCATGTGAAAGGAGCTATACATATGTAATTTGTTGGTGTTGGTCGTTCGCTTTATAATAATAATAATAATAATAATAATCCTTGCATTTGATATAGCGCTTTTCACGTCGGGAGGACGTCCCAAAGCGCTTCACAGAACACACTGTAAAGTGAATTGACTATATATTTGTGGGCGAACGCGGCAGCCAATTGCGCACAGCAATGTCCCACAAACAGTCGTAGATTGAAAATGACCAATTTAATTATTGTTTTTTTTTTGGAGGGATTATTATTAGGCTCTGTGTGGAGTAAGGAAACTTGCCCAAGGTTTCGCCCTCTGCCTGGAATTGAACTCAGGTCTCTCACTTGCAAAGCGAGTGCTCTAACCACTGAGCTACAGGACTCCACATCTCTGTTTATCTCTGTTTATGCAACATTACTGTGTGCAAATTGGCTGTTGTATTTGCATAAAAAATACACAGTCTCTACTACACTTTATAATAAATCCTGTGAAGTGCTTTGTGATGTCCTCCTGACATGAAAAGCCCTTTACCAAATGCAAGAATTAATACTATACCAAAGCTTCTTGCTCCCATCCACCTCTGTGTCACCAACTTCTGGCATCTCTCTGTGTTACAACAACAACAACTGCATTTATATAAAGCCCTTCATCCAGGATAGCATCTCGGAGCTCTCAGTTGATTTATTGGATGTTCCTTTGGTGCTGGTAATATGATGGCAGCAATTACACCTTCTCCTCATTGTAAACTAAACTACGTTACAACCTACCAGGTTAATCACTGCTCTACTGTAGAGCTCAGGAGATACTGATACAAAATAGGAATTAGGAATAAATGGAGGCTCTTTGGTCCATCAATCCCCTCTGTTACAGACCTTTCAAGGGCTTAAGCACTCCCACATTCATTATTTCCTTCACCACTTCCTCACCATATTCCTTATATTTCTGGTCATTCACTTCATGGCTGTTTGGGGGACATTGCTGTGTCCAAATTGGCTGCTGCATTCAGCTACAAATTCACAGTCACTACACTTTACAGTTAATCTTGTCAAGCTCTTTGAGATGTTTCAACCATGTGTTAAGGTACAAGGATGCAAGGCTTATTCTACTTCCAAAGGTCTATTATTCTTTATCTTGAACTTCCTTGGATGATTTACTACAACAACAAACAGCAATTTTTATTTGGTGGACATTGTTGGCCAGGACACTGGTGGAGTGAAACTTCTTTGAATAGTGCCTTTTTTGAAAAGCGCCAACATCCACCTGAACAGGACCTCAATATAATGTCTTATCTGATGGACGACACCTCCATCAATGCAACAGCACCCCCAGCACTGTGCTAGAATATCAGCCAGTACAGCGCTGGGGGTGCTTCTGACTCAGAGTTGAGAGAACTACCAACTAAGCCGAGCTGTCACACAAGGAGGCATTGGAGAAACTGGCATGGCTGCTACATGGGGTATGTTGTTGGGTGTGTCAGTGCCAGTGTTTGGAAGGAGAAGCAGTAATACCTGGGGTGGGGGGCTTTACCAATACATGGTTCACATCCTTCCTTTCCTACTCTTGCAGAATTTGATCCAGGTCAGTCGGAATTTTGTCACCCCACCATTCCAGATCAGAGGCCTGGATCACCTTGTTCTGACAGTAAAGAGCATTGAAGACACCACGGCATTTTACTCCCAAACATTGGGGATGGAAGTCATTACTTTCAAGGTAAATTCACAGGTTATATTCACAGGTGCTGTTGGTCTGGGCATGTCTCTGAGCATGAATTCAAGGTGTGCATTTTGTTCCTTCTTGGGTAACAATTGATTTACAGAATGTACAAGTGACGTTCGATAATAAGGCAGGTGGGGTGAGCACTGTAAGGTTTCCAAGGGATGGGGTAGGGTAGGTCAGGGTGTGAAGAGATTTTACGGAAGCTATTGCAAGGGCAGGTGGGGAACAGAGATAATGATAGTATGGGAAGTATTTGAACAGGTGGAAGAAATTTTTTGAACAATAAAGCATTTATCTTTATTGAGTAATTGATTAGTTTCTACTACAAGGTTATGACCTTAATTTTGTGAAAGAGTTGCATTTTTTATTGGACCTAATTATATCATATATATTTAAACAAGTTATTACTGTCAAGTGTTTTCCTGGTTTGTTCTTGCCCAATGTGCTGCAGACAGCCACAAAGTGCACTGCTATGTAAACTGGAGGATTATTCATCAAGATATTAATAACCATAATCCTCGCATTTGATGCAGCACCTTATCGGGTCATTGAAAAGTCTCAAAGCATTTAACAGAATACACTGTAAAGTGGATTAACTGTGTATTTTGTGGGCGAAACACAGCAGCCAGTTTGCGCACAGCAGTGTCTCACAAACAGCCATGGAGTGAGGGACTAATTTTATTTTAGGGGATTGTTGGCCAGGACACCGGGAGAAACTCCCTTCTCTTTTCAAATAATAATAATATAATAATCCTTGCAAATAGTGCTTTAATATCTTCCTGGACTGGCAGACAGGACCTCGGTTTAACATCTCATCCGAAGGACGGCACCTCCGACAATGAAACACATCTCCAGCTCTGCATTGGAGTGGCAGCTTAGACTATGTGATTCCAAGTCCCAACGTGGGGGCTTGTACCCACATCTTTCTGACTTAGAGGCGAGAATGCTACAACTGCATCTGGCTGACAAACCATTACCCCCAGAAAGCGATCCGCCAGTTGACTAACCATACGGTTCCTACTTACTGCTAAGTAAACAGAGGCGTGTGAACTAAGAAAACTTGCCTAAGGTTTCGTCCTGCTGGGGTTTCAAACCGAGGGTCCTCTCCTTGTGAGGCGAGTGCTCTAACCAATACCCTGACTGTCACCTGTTGCTTTTCAGCCACAAAAAATACTATCCACAAATTTTATTGTGAATTTAATGTCCCACACAAGAACTGGAGAGCTTAATCCAAGGAAAGACTCCAGCATTGCCTTTGTGAAGGTGCTGTGCTTTGGACAAGAAATTAAACTGAGTTCCTTTCTTGCTGTTCTGGTGATTCAGGTTAAAAAACCTCTGGCAATTTTTGAAACAAGAGCTGTCAGTTCTCCTCAGTGTCTTAGTCAATGTTCACTCATCCAAATTATAATATACCAATCCTTGCATTTGTTATAGCGCTTTTACGTCTTCCAGAGGTCTCAAAGGGCTTCACAGAACACACTGTAAATTGAATTGACTGGAAATCTGTGGGCGAAATGCGGCAGCCAATTGCGCACAGCAGTTTCCCACAAACAGTCGTGGATTGAAATGACCAATTTATTATTGTTTTTTTCACAATAGCAGATTAATTGCTGTCTTATCTCAGTTGCTGTTTGCAGGTAGTGTCTGGAACAGATTGGATACTGCGTCACAGCTTTTCACAGAACCTTGGCATGTTGAGATAATTGTTTTTCAATAAGGATTTTTAGTGGGCTATTCTCAGAAAGAGGTTTCATTCCTCCTTCTCAAGAATCTGTAGGAAGCAAAAGATTATTGCATTATAGATATGGATATATGATTCTTGGAAACTAAACAGCAAATGAATGGGAAACTAGGGGCTGATTCTTCCTACTCAGCTGCTGTTAACACTGCAAGCCAAAGCCCTAACAGGTAAGGGAGACAATATGAAACTTACTAAATAGTGCTGGAGTTGGCTGGCTATGCAACTTTAACTAGTTAAACTCTCAGCAGTATCCTAATGTATATGCGGGAAACCCCAAGACTTGGTTCTTTGCATTCCAAAGAACACACCTTTCCCTCTCCCAAACAACATCTTATCTGCATTGCGCAAGAGTTTAGACTCAACGTTTGAAAGAAGCCAAGTCGACTGTCAATTAGTGCTTTTCATTCCCATGTAGTCTACACATCCGAGGGGGAAATCCCACATATAGTGACGGTTTACTTACTAACTAACACAAGCTTATTTTTTGATAAAAGTCACTCTTCATTCAATATTGAGTGTAATAAATAAAGCAGCTGTCTCACACAATGTTTTTTGGGGTTCATGAACACTAAAATCTTTTAAAAATAATACTGCTAATAACAACTCCCTGTATTTGATTTCTCATGGCATTGAAACAGAGTAGGATTTACTGTAGAGAGTATAGGCTACTTGAGGGGAATACATTGATTGAACTTTAGGTTCTGTGATTTTCATGTATGTGAGTAAGCTGTTGCATTGTCTATTCACAGGGTAACCGCAAGGCACTGTCCTTTGGGAATCAGAAATTCAACTTGCACGAGGTTGGAAAAGAGTTTGAGCCGAAAGCACACAGGCCAACACCAGGATCCATAGACCTCTGTTTGATTACCCATACGCCGATCAATAAAGTGATGGAACATCTGAAAGTTGGTCACTCAATTACATAGACTTACGTAGATTGATACAGCACAGAAAGAGGCCATTTGGCCCAACTATTACATGCCAGTGTTTGCACACCAGCCCTCACCCCTCCTATTCTCCTTATTGTTTGACTCATTCAAAGTCAGACAACAACTTACAGCAACTTGCCTTTATACAGTGCTCCCCATATCTTGGAGTGCTTCAATCTAAGTATTAAAACTGTGTAGGCAGAAATGGATGTTGAAGAGAGCTTTGTAAGCAGAGTCTAGATGTTGAAGAGAGCTTTGCCTTTACCGTAACTTATAGCACTAATTCCCTGAAAACATTCAGCATTCAGCACTCTCCCTCAATCCCTCCGCCTTGCCCCCGATCTCCCCTCTTTTAAGTCTTTCAAAGATGAAAACCTTCATCTTCGACCGTGCTTACGGCCACCTCCCCCCTCCCCTCTCCCCCTGGCTCAGAGGAAGGCTCCGCCATTGTTAAGCGCTCTGTGACGCTGCCCTATATGGAGGGCGCTATATAAGTGCAAGTTGTTGTTGTTGTTTACAATGTTCCCAATGTGAAGGGCTGGTAAAACCTATTCATGTAAAGTTCAATCTGTAAAGTTTGACATGTTCTTACCCTTGAAATAGGACATCCACATTTTTTGCTGTGGTAACAAAATAATTGTGTGAGAGCCTAGTGAAGAGAGTCGGGCTCGGCTGTACAGATAAGTGACCTGCCGAGACTCACAACATAAACATTGGCCACTTCAGCGGGTACCAAAGAGGGCAATCAATGCTTGAGGAACCGCACCCCAGTGGGAAGAGAGACCAGATACAGAAGCTTTTATCAAACGGGGAGAAAAATTAGAAAAATAATCAGATGCACTAAATTTAAAATAAGAATTTGCTTGATGAGTAGATTACTACCTTTAGGCTTGGAGGGTGATGGCTCTTCTTGCAATACTTGTAGCCTTGTTGCTGCTCTAAATGATAATGCTGACCAAATGTTTCTTAACATTTCGTATGCAGAAATGCGGTGTTGCCGTTGAAGAAGGTCCCGTTGAACGAACGGGTGCAGTGGGTCCTATCGTCTCGGTCTACTTCAGAGATCCGGACAATAATCTCATTGAGGTTTCCAATTACCATTCTGGACAAAAGTGAACACTCCAATAATTGGTTCTTTACGGGTAAACAAGGACTGTGGTACAAGTATGTGCTGCTTCAAATTGTTCTTGGGTGGCAATATGGAGTCTGAATAATAATAATAAGAAGAAGATGAAATAACTGCATTTACGACAGAAGAGGGAAGTCGGGCAATTCAACTCCATGTGTGGTTTGACATGCTTTTGATTTGACATCAGAGGCTTCTGTACAACAAATATTTGTGGAACAAATTTGCACATTGCAATAAATGAACAAAAAAAATCCAATGCTTTACATTTACTGAACAAGAAATACAAAGGTTTGACAATATGTATACAGTCGAGCTCCAGTGCGCAGCAATTTCTAACGGGATCTGTTAATAAGGCAATGGATTTTTGTCACACTGACTTGCAGTTCCTCACAGTGTTCTGGCCAAAAATCCCCCAAATAAAAAATTGGCCATTCACTTCATGGCTTTATATGGGACATTGTGGTGTGCAAATTAGATGGGTCACCTACAAAATACACACTCACTGCACTTTACAGTAAATCCTATGAAGCACGTTGAGATATCTTGTGGCTGTGATAAGACACTATTTCAAATTGAAGTGTTATTATGTATTTCTATGTCATGGGAATAACGCTTCGTCTGAATTTCCACTGGCAATATCTGAGTGAAAAAGAAACTCAAGAACCCATTATTTGAACGCAGAAATCAAATATTTCGATTTTTCTGTTCAGCTATAAATAAGTCGCAAATGCTTCTGTTCAAACAAAAATTGCACAATCTCTTTATTGTTGAGTCATGTAGTTTAGTGGTTAAGGCATTCATAGTGGAAGGACCTGGGTGAGATTCCTGGGGAATCAACTTTGGGCAACTTTCCTTACTCCACAGCCTTCTGTTCACCTTGAAGTAAGTAGGTGCTTAGTTGATTGGGAAATCACTTTCTAGGTATAATAATCCCTTCAAATAATGATAATAAAAAAAATTAATTTGGTAATTCAATCCATGACTGTTTGTGGGACACTGCTGTGCACAATTGGCTGTTGTGTTTCGCCCACAAAATACACAGTCGATTCACTTTACAGTATATTCTGTGAAGCGCTCTGAGAAGTCTCGAAGTCTTGATAAGGCGCTGTATCAAATGCAAAGATTATTATTATTATTTATTCAAATAGAGTACTTCTCTCCATATTGGTGCATTGACAAAATATGTTCCTGTTCCTCCTTCACAACCTCCCAGGGCATGTTGTCTTCACTACAACAACAGTTTACATCTATATGGAACCTCTCACGTTGAGAGGGCGTCTCAAAGCACCTCACACAACTGATGAGGAAACTCAATCCAGGGAGTGAGAAGGGAGAGAGAGGAAGGTGGCTGAAAGCACAATTGAAGGGACAAAGGGGACAAGGTAGAAGGAGTCCGGAACTGAGTTCCAGAGAATATGGTCAGAATGGCTGAAAGCTCACCCACCCTTGGATCAGTTGGGACAGATCAGTTGGGGATGGGAAGCAAGGCGATTTTGCAATACAATAAAACTCACACGATGTTGGTATAGCACCTTTCATGCTGGGAGTGCTTGGTGACAAGTGGAGGGAGCAGCATGTGTAGTAAATTCACAGGTAGTCACAGATGTATGTGTGGGCGAAGCCTTGGAGGCATTATTGACCTCAGTACAATACGTGTTATGGGAACCCAACTGATCAAACTATGGAAAGGGAAGTAAATTGCATCCTCTGGCATGCTGATTGATACCCTGGCAGTTGTTAGAAGATGCTTAGTTAAAGGAACTAAGGTTGTGTGAAGTAAAAGCTAACTGCTTGCATAGCTGAAACTGTAGTCGCAAACTAGGTGCTATTTGAGGGCAGCAGGACTAACTTAAACTGTCTGGAAATGGCTGGTACAAGATAGCCAAGGGTCTGTGGAGTGGGAAGACCAAGATAAATCAGGATTGGGGTAAAAAAAAGTCAATAATCAGACTAGGAGGGCTGGGATTGGTCACAACAACAACAACAACAACAACAAGATTCCATTTATAAAGCGCCTTTCACGTCAGGAGGACGTCCCAAGGCGCTGCACAGTTGGGTCATGACCCGAGCAGGGGGGAAATGGTCAGGGTGAGGGGAGGGAAGGGAGGGAGCGAGGAAGGGGGAAATGGTCAGGGTGAGGGGAGGGAAGGGAGGGAGCGAGGAGGGGGAAGAGAGTCGAGAGGGGAGCTGAAGGCACGGTCAAAGAGAAAGGTTTTGAGACCGGCCTTGAAGGAGGAAAGGGAGGAAGCAAGGCGAAGGCACTGGGGGATGGTCACAGCATCGAATCCATGTTTTACATATACATAACAAACTGTGAAAGGGTTTAGGTATAAGATAGAGGTTTGATTGTATCCTGGGCAGTTGCCAAAGGAGTCATAGAGAGATGGAAAATTAAGTTGCTGCAAGGAACTGCCCACAAGTGTTACAGGATCATCTGAATTGGTGGTATTGCCTTTAATTCTATAATTGCTTATGTTTCAACTATTGTTTAATAATAAATTCCGTTACACCAATTTGGATTGTTGGGTCATATTTCGAACTCAGGGATCGGAAATCCCAACACAGTAAATCTTTGAACACGTAATTTCTTGTTCACATAACCTCTTTTCTGTCAAGAACATTCAGGGTGTTTTTTGGACCTCTTAGACCAGAGTTTCTCAAACTATGGGGCACATGGCATGCACCAGTTGCATACCTCGCAACAGTCCCAGGTTTTACATGTCCCGGCAAAACCACTTCCCCAAAACCTAAACCCTGCAACATTGCTTCCCATAACAACCAAACCCCAAACAAATTCACACTCCTCACTGCTAAGTGAGGACTGATGGACATTAGACTGACACCATTTATGATTCTTTGGGGTTGTGATTTCCTGAATGTTTGTGCAGTTTTGTTTTCACTGCTGCGATTTGTACTCTTTTTGAACAGAACCCATCAGATGAAGGTGCTTGGACTATGATTAGACTCAGATAATCATATTGTACTTGGGATCACCTTGTAATTGGTTATAATAATATTAATCATCCTTGAATTTGATAGAGCGCAATATCTGGTGTTGGTTTCGCACGTTCCAGAGTTACAACTAAATATAGACCAAAGTTCTCTCTGCATTGCCTCCAGGACTTTAACTGCAGGTGGCAAGATGTTGATGGAACAACAATATGTTGTTCTGGACACAGAAGAATGTGGTGCGGCAATATAATTGGGATCAGCAACGAGACCAACAAGGAGCAGATTAATGCTGACAAATATGTTTATTAATTCACTTTAATATCCAATGTTATAATTCTGACTCAATTTGAATCCAGCCCCTGCAGGTCAAAGCAAAAGGTGTGGATGCCACGGAGATCAATTGATTTTAATTTATATTTGCTGCCCTGGACTAATCCCCTGTTGACAGCTATGGGTCAGAGTATGTCTCCCCACACCTTAGGGATGGGTGCATCATTAGTGCTACATACCAAGGTAGGGGTGAAACCAATGGGAGAAATATGTGGCTGTTTGTCACATCTGTCACATCTTTAAATTAACCAGTCTCATATTCTTAGGACCGAATATTAAATAATCCTATTTCACATCAAACAATGTAGGGAATTTTCCATTTAGGCATCTCATTATTTAACGAATGACATGCTACAGATCTTTATTCCAACATAACAAATTTACATTCATATCATGCTTTCATGATGGGAGGACATCTCAAGGCGCTTGATAGTCCTGGTTTGGCACCAAAGCTGAAGGTGAGACAAGAGTCAAGGCTTGGGGACCCCAGAGTGCGCGTATGGGTTCTGCTGAAATGTAATCTGGTAAAAACACATAGATTGCCACTGAGAGCACAGTGTAGCAAGTTTCGCACGGCTTGTCCCAGAATCACCATACTTGTTAGGGCTTTTAGGGAGAGGATCCAATCGTAATTGTACATATAGGGACCAATGACTTTGGTAGGACCAGTAGGGACGAGTTAAGTAGCGAGTTCCGGGAATTGGGAATTAAATATAGGAATAGAACTTCCAAAGTGATGATATCGGGACTGTTACCTGAGCCAGGAGCTACTTGGTACAGGCAAAAGAAGATCATAGATCTGAATGCCGGGCTAAAAGAGTGGTGCGGAGAGCAGGAATTCCAATTCATGGGCCACTGGCACCAGTATTGGGGAAGATGGGAGCTTATCCAAAGGAATGGGCTCCACCTAAATAGGGCTGGGACAAATGTCCTGGCTACGCGAATAAATAGGGAGGTAGAAAGGGCTTTAAACTACTAAGGGGTGGGGGGGGGAGGTAAAAACATAGTAAAGTATAGTCCACCCCAGTTAAACTTGAGATCAACAAAAGCAAGAGAGCAGATTAACAAGGGAGAAGAGCAAAGTGTGTCAAGCAGGGAAAGGAAGTACAGTGATTGAGTGCTGGTGAATAGGGTTAATAGCCGGAAGTCAGAATTAAGGGCGCTATATCTGAATGCACGAAGCATTCGTAACAAGATAGATGAATTAGTTGCACAAATAGAGAGAAACCGGTATGATCTAGTAGCCATCACCTAGACATGGTTACAGGGTGATCAGGGATGCGAACTGAATATTCCCGGCTACGTGGTATATAGGAAAGATAGGCGATGTGGTAAACAAGGAGGGGGAGTGGCCCTGCTAATAAAAGATGGGATAAAAACAGTAGAGAGGAAAGATTTTAAATCTGAAAAGCAAGATGTAGAGTCAGTATGGGTAGAGATACGTAACTTCAAGGGGCAGAAAACTATAGTGGGAGTAGTTTATAGACCCCCAAACAGTGGTCAAAGTATCGCTCAAGGTATAAATCAAGAGATTAGTGGAGCATGTAGCAAAGGAAAGACACTAATTGTGGGTGATTTTAACCTGCACATAGACTGGGACAACCAAATTGGGAAAGGTAACATAGAAGAGGAGTTTATAGAATGTATTAGAGATAATTTTCTAGATCAATATGCTGAGGAGCCGACCAGGGAACAAGCCATATTAGACCTTGTTTTGTGTAATGAAACAGGGCTGATCAGCAAACTGGAACTTAAGGCTCCTCTCGGGCAAAGCGATCATAATATGATGGAATTTAGCGTTAAGTTAGAGAGGGAAGTAGTTAAGTCTGAAGCAAAAGTCTTCAATTTAAATCGAGCCAACTTTGCTGGTATGAGAGAGGATTTAGCCAGAATAAACTGGGAGACTAAACTTAAAGATTTGACGGTAGACCAGCAATGGCAGACATTCAAGGAGATAGTGCAAAATTCCCAACGAGCACATATTCCTTTGAGGAATAAGAATGCCATGGGAAAGGTGGTGCAGCCATGGCTAACTAGAGCAGTTAGGGAAAGTATCAAATCAAAAGAAAAAGCCTATAAAACAGCGAAGATGAGTAGTAAACCCGAGGATTGGGAGAACTTTAGGGAACAACAGAGGAGGACCAAAAAATTGATCAAGAGGGAGAAAATAGATTACGAGGGCAAACTAGCAAAGAACATAAAAACAGACTCCAAGAGTTTTTACAAATATATAAAGAGGAAAAGGCTAGCGAGGGTGAATGTGGGTCCATTACAGGCAGAGACCGGAGGAATTATAATAGGGGACAAAGACATGGCAGAGTCATTAAACAAGTATTTTTCTACAGTCTTCACCGTAGAAGACACTGGAAACATACCAAAAATAGAGGACCAAGAAGACAATGTTAGCGAGCAACTTAGGGAGATTAACATTAGTAAAGAGATGGTTCTAGGTAAATTGTCGGGTCTTAAAACCGATAAATCCCCTGGACCGGATGGCCTGCATCCGAGAGTTTTAAAGGAGGTGGCTACTGAGATAGTGGATGGCATGTCTATAATCTTCCAAAAGTCTGTGGATACTGGAAAAGTTCCCATTGATTGGAAGATTGCAAACGTAACTCCACTATTTAAGAAGGGTGGGAGAGAAAATAGGGAAAACTATAGACCAGTTAGTTTGACGTCAGTTGTAGGGAAAATTCTTGAGTCCTTAATAAAAGACGTAGTTATGGGATACCTGGAAGACCATAAAAAGATTAGGCAGAGTCAACATGGCTTTACAAAAGGGACGTCATGCTCGACTAACCTTTTAGAATTTTTTGAGGATGTATCCAGCAGGTTGGATAAGGGGGAACCAGTAGATGTGGTATATTTGGATTTTAGGAAGTGCTCGAAAATAAAATCAGCCAAATCTGTAAGGAAATAACGCTAATTCCTCTAACCAGATATCAGACTGTTTTATTATTATTCGTTCGTTATTCCCCAATATCCCGATGGGTCAGACCAAAGGTCGGTACAATCAAAAGATCTTATAACAGAATAACACCACTATAGATATCTTGAGTTCAAGAGTTCAACACTGTGTCTTTACAGCACACAAGCTTGATTTTTCATGCTTTCAGTCTTCTTGCTTACAGCTTTCAATTTTCCATCTCCGTACCCTTGTCTCCGCAGCCCGGAATGGCTCCACCTCTCTTATCCTTGTCTCTGCGACCGGGGAAGGCTCCATCTCCCGTATCCTTGTCTCCACGACCCGGGACGGCTCCATCTCCCGTATCCTTGTCTCCACGACCCGGGACGGCCCTGTACACAAAGTTATCGGAACTCTTATACCAATGTTCATCCAATCATGGTGCGGACATTAGATCATCTGGTCGAAATCATGCTGGGTTCACGTGAATACCTCATGGGGTGTACGTGCCTCACACACACAAACACACCATCCTTGAGACAGTCCGTTATCTCGTGTACGTGCAGGGAGTTTCAGTCCAGCTGTCCACAACACACTCAACTTAAAAGTTAACCCGTTCGCAACATCTATTATGATTCCAACATCATACAAAAAGTGTAAATTCTAACAGAAAGCATTTGACAAGGTGCCACCCAAAAGGCTGTTACTCAAGATCAAGGCCCACGGGATTAATGGGAAAATATTAACATGGATAGAAGAGTGGCTATCGGGTAAAAAGCAGAGAGTAGTGATAAATGGATCATTCTCGAATTGGCAGGATGTAACTAGTGGAGTGCCACAAGGATCAGTGCTTGGGCCTCAGCTATTTACCATTTACATCAATGATCTGGACGAGGACATTGAATGTAATGTGTCTAAGTTCGCGGATGATACTAAACTCGGTAGCAGAGTGAGCTCTCAGGATGATGCAAAAAGATTGCAACAAGATATAGATAGGCGAGGGGAGTGGGCAAGTAGGTGGCAGATGGAATTCAATGTTAGCAAGTGTGAAATTATTCACCTCGGTAGCAAGAATAAAAGAACAGATTATTTTCTGGAAGAGGAGAAGTTAGATAGAATTAGTATTCAAAGGGATTTGGGTGTCCTTGTACACCAGTCCCAAAAAGTTAGTTTGCAGGTGCAGCAGCAACTAAGAAGGCGAACGGTATGTTAGTGTTCATTTCGAAAGGTTTAGAATATAAGAGTAGGGAAGTCTTGCTGCAACTGTATAGGGCTTTGGTGAGACCGCATCGAGAGTATTGTGTGCAGTTTTGGTCTCCTTATTCAAAAAAGGACATACTTGCCCTTGAGGGGGTGCAGCGTAGATTCACTCGGTTAGTTCCTGGGATGAGGGGACTGACCTATGAGGATAGGCTGAATAAACTTGGGCTGTATTCTCTAGAGTACAGAAGAATTAGGGGAGATCTTATTGAAACTTATACGATTCTTAAAGGGCTGATAAAGTAGGCACAGGGGGACTGTTTCCCCGGTAGGAGAATCTATAACCAGGGGTCACAGTCTTAAAATTAAGGGTCAACCTTTTAGAACAGAGTTGAGGAAACATTTCTTCACTCAGAGGTTAGTGAACTTATGGAATTCACTACCCCAGAAGGCTGTAGATGCTCAGTCCTTGAACATTTTCAAGGCTGAGACTGATAGATTCTTGAAAAATAGAGGGATTAGGGGATATGGGGATAGGGCAGGTAATCAGAGTTAGGTGAGAAGATCAGCCATGATCTTAGTTACATCCTGCCAATTCGAGAATGCCAATTGGCTGCCGCGTTCGCCCACAAATATACAGTCAATTCACTTTACAGTGTGTTCTGTGAAGCGCTTTGGGACGTCCTCCCGACGTGAAAAGCGCTACATCAAATGCAAGGATTATTATTATTATTATTATTAACATAATCATAACAAAGCCATGAGAACACCTTCAAAGCCCCAATACATGTAGATAACGAACAGAAAAATGTTAGGATTGGTGAGGAGTGAGTCAGATCAAACTTATGGATCTTCAGAGGAAGATCCCAGTTCAGTACTGAGAGCTGAGAGGGCAACCAGTGTCCCACAAACAGTCGTGGATTGAGCGACCAATTTTTTTGATTGTTATTTTTTATTAGGATTTATTATTATGGGGTTGATACCCTATAAAACATGGGTTGCCCTGCATGCAGAATAGACCATGAAGAGATAAAGGAAGAGGCAGTCGAGACAGAGCCAGAAAACGGAAATAATATCTATCCAGTGAAGAATTCAATTCAGGACTGTGAGATCCAGTGGTCTGCCATTCATGATTTATTTATTTTTACACCTTGTCAATGTAAAATAACTCATCCGCCCCCATATTCCTATAATACTACGTCAAGCACATCCAATACGTCCACAAGGACACGTACTAAGGTCTCAGTTGCTGCTTTGTGAACATGTGGGTGAGACGTTTGCCAAACCAGGAAATGTAGCTATTTCCCAAAAACAAAAACCTTCGTGTTTCCTAGTCAGAAATATTTACAGGAGTGGCTTGTGAAGAGGAAGTGTTTTATCATGCTCCTCTAAAGGATCCTCTTAAATCCACCACCACAAAGACTAAAGCAAGTTCTACAAAGTTATTTGAGATAGGGGAAAACACAACGAAATAAGGCTTCCAGGTGTTTCTTCCCCAAACTGAGTGACAGGCAACTATTGAGGTGTCTTTTGCTATAGGTTTCGATTACATTTCCACAGATGATATGCATGAATTATCTCAATGAGTCAGCTGTAAAAAAATGTAGAGTGACGCACACCAATGAGATGAAGCAATAGCAGAAGAGCGACTCAAATATAAATGAGGCTTGAGCTGTTGTTACTTTCACATAACGCCAGAAACACATCTCGACCTGCTCCTGTGACCATCCACCGTCCATCCATCCATCCACCCATCCATCCATCCATCATGAAGAACGATCTACAAAGATCTTACCTTGAGAATGGGTATCTGACTGGACACCAAGTCTTGGACAAGAACGAGTTGGCTTTGGCCAGAAGGTCCTTCACTGACTTCGAGAATGAATTCGGTAAATAAAAGACACGTATCCGTTAAATTAGCCAATTAAGTGAAAAAAAAACGCTCTAAAAATGTAAATTGTCCCCAGTTTGTATAAAGGCTGGTATTTCGTTTGATAATGACAATTGGAATTGGTTTGTGTTTGCAGGTAAGGAGTTCACTCAGTACAGTCTCCACAATGTACACCTGCAGCACAAGTGGGTGATGGACCTGGCCTCACACCCTCAGGTTCTCAGCACCATCACTGCAGCTCTGGGTCCCAATGTCATCTTATTGGATTCCAGGTTCATCTGCAAATACCCAGCTTCGGATGTCCCTCACAAGGACGACGTGGCCCCCTATGTGGCCTGGCATCAGGACATCAGGTCAGTCAGGGGGTCAGTCACACTCACAGCTCGGCACTCAACTGAGAACTTCCTCTGAAGATCCATAGGTCTGACCTCACTCACTCCTCACCAATCCTAACTCTGTTCTCCTGTTTGTCACCTACAGGTATTGGGGCTTTGAAGGAGGTGCCGTGGCCTCTGTGTGGTTGGCTTTGGATGATGTTGACAGAGATAACGGAGTCTTGCAGGTGATCCCAGGTGAGTCACTCGTGGCACAGTGGCAGAGTCCGGCCACCAAATTCCTTCCACGAGACTTACCTTATTGTGAGCACTCTCAGCTGTGGGTACATGGACCTGTTGGGTGGCTAACACCAGTCCCTCTTCTGCTGTCATCCAGGAAGCCATAAATCGGGGTTGTTGGAACACGGAATCGCTGGTCTCCCCGGGAACATGCTGACAGCCAACCAGGAGATCCCCAGACATTTGGTTGATGCTGAAAAGGCTGTGGAATGTCCTCTCGGGGCAGGAGAAATGTCTGTAAGTCAGAGAGAGATTCCGAATGAATTGCTCCTGCTCTGCTTTGCTCTCCACCCTCATTGTGTCTCTGATTCACTGCAAAACCTTCTGCATTGCTCACTCAGGTCCACGATGGTCTGACAGTTCACTACAGTGAACCCAACATGTCAGACAGACGCCGATGTGGCTTTGTTATCCGCTACATCCCCACAACTGCCTATCCTGTCGAAGTGAGTATGTTTTTTTTTTGACTGCATGTTATAACTTGTAATTCACAAGCCCAGCTCTGCCTGTGGACTTTCCATTGCAGCTGATGGTCAAAGTTCTCAAAGGTGAACTTCTGTATCAAATGCACCTGGCTTTATAGATTATAACGTTATATCAAATGCAAGTATTATTATTATTATTATTATTATTATTATTAGGAGGCTATGCCCATGACTGTATGGGTTTTGCGGATGCTTTGCCAATATATTGGGGGGCTGTTTCCATTCTCATTGTTGTGAGCGATCGTGTTGGGAAGCATTGACAATCACAGAGCTCATTCCGCTTTACAGTATATCCTGTGAAGCGCTTTGAGACGTCTCAATGACGTGATAAGGCACAATATCAAACAAGGATTTGCATTATTGCGTTATTATTATGATTATTATTATTATAAGTGTACAACCTAACTTTCCAGGAATGTCAGATGATGAAACACATCCTGGAAGCTGCTTTCACTCTGTTCTAATTCCTGATATTTGTCCATTTAGGATCCAGACCGACCTCGTTCTTTCCCTGCGACAGTGCTGATAGCTGGAGAAGACAAGTTCGCTCACTTTAAAGATCACTCACCGAGTTTCTTTGTGAAGACATGTTAAAAAAAAGTTCTTTGTTTAAGTTTCTTGGAATTTATGGATTTATGGAATTCACTACCTCAGAAGGCTGTAGATGCTCAGTCCTTGAACATCTTCAAGGCTGAGACTGATAGATTTTTTTAAAAAATAGAGGGATTAGGGGATATGGGGATAGGGCAGGTAATTAGAGTTAGGTCTGAAGATCAGCCATGATCTTATCGAATGGCGGGGCAGGCTCGAGGGGCCGAATGCTCCTAATTCAGCGCCTTGGGACGTCCTCCTGACGTGAAAGGCGCTTTATAAATGGAATCTTGTTGTTGTTATTTAAAAAGTGTCACTATCTGACCGATGGTAGAAGTCTGCACTCCTCTGGGTAACTGCTGTGATAAACTGACGAAACTCATGATTTTATAAATTTTATAAATGATTTTATAAAGTTTATAGTTTACAGATATATTTCTTACATGAAACAATAAATTATATTCCTGGTACATTACCTCTGCAATGATCATTTCATTTTTGTACAAATAGTGTCCTGCCTGGGTTCAATTACCACCACTTTACAAATAAATATCACAATGTTATGATTAAAAGAATACACCCGTAAAACTAATAACCATATGAATACTGGACCTGGCTGTTTATATCCAAGACTACATAGTGGTCTAGTGGATAGCTATTTGTTAGGCCAGGGTATCAAGGAATTCGGGGTAAAGGCGGGTAATTGGACTTGAGGTACAGATCAGCCATGATCTTGTAGAATGGCGGAAGAGGCTCAAGGGGCTGAATGGCCTATTCCAGTTTCTATATTTACAGCTATTCGCAGCCAAAGCTTTCAAGATTAAACTAAAAATAAATAATACTTTAAAAAAATTAAATAAAAATAAAAAATAATTTAGTCACTCAAACCACGACTGTTCGTCGGAGGCCGCTGTGCACAATTAGCTGATGCATTTCATCCGTAAAATACACAGTCACTACACTTTACAATATATCCTGTGAAGCGCTTTGAGATGTCTCAATGACATGATACAGTGCCATATCAAATGCAAGAACAAGTAATGCAAGGATTAAAGCCCTAACAAGTATGATTAGAGTATTAGTATTAGAGCACTCACTTCACAAATGAGAAGATCCTGACTTGATTAGGGCTTAGGCAAGTTTCCTTACTCCAAACCCTCTGTTGACCTCGCCATAAGTAGGAACCCGGTTGTTAGTCGATTGGCGGATCGCATTCTGAAGGTAATAATCCCTTAAAAACAATTGTCACTCAATCCACAACTGTTTGTGGGACATTGCTGTGCGCAATTTGCTGCTGATTTTCGCCCACAAAATATACAAAATAGTCAATTCACTTCACAGAATATCCTATGAAGTGCTTAGGGTTAGGGTTACCATGGGTTCATGGCCATGGTATTTTCCTGCAGTATATAATTTTATCAACAAATTTAAAAATTCAATAGCTTCAAAGGCTACGATAACAAATGCAATGATTATTTAATATCCTATCATAAGGGTATGAGATTAAGGCTGGCTAAGTTAAAGATCAGAGTTAATCAGACTATTTTTGATCTACCCCAAAAGTGCACAAATAAGGGTTTTATTGTAAACAGTCACATATTTTTCCCATTGGTATCATCCCCACCTTGTAATGTGGCACTACTTCCAACTGCTGTCACCAACGATGCACCCATCCCCAAGGCTGTGGAGAGACCTACTCTGAACCATAGCCATCACCAGGGGATTAGTCCAGGGCAGCAAATATAAATTAAAATCAATTAATCTCAATGGCATCCATACTTTTTGCTTTGGCTTGCAGGGGCAAGTTCAAATTCAGTCAGAATTATAACACTGGACATTAAAATGGATTAATAAACATATCTGTCATATCTGCTTCTTCTTGGCTTTGGCTTTGTTAATGATCTCAATTGTATTGTCTCTCCACATTGCTCTGTGACATGAAAAATATTCTTCAATATCCTTTTAAGGTGATTCGTTCAATGAGTTTACTTTATTATCCTCTGCATGAGACATATTGGTCTCAAATTTCTCTTCACTTCTATTACTCCTCATATCATCTGCAGGCTTAGTCATGTGGCCAACAGTCACATATTTCAACATGGAATGCAAATGGCACCCGAAAATAATATAAATCGTCTAGTCATAACCCCAGTCAGATTCCAGTAAGTTTCTGCTCTGACTGTGCTTATCTGACATCAAGATCTGGATGATCACCAACTTCCTGCAGCTGAACATGGACAAGACAGAAGCCAACCTCCTTGTGTCCCATCAACGTCTTCTCAAGTGCAATTCTGAATACCTTCGCCTTTCCTGCCTATTCCTCAGGCTCACCAAGTCTATACACAACCTTAGCATCAAGTTCAATCTCCATTCAGTGGGCCAGTGCCCACTGAATGGAGGGAGCGGACAGGTTGGTATGGTGTTAAGAGGTCACAGAAGTCGAGAGGAGCATGACCGTGGAGGGCTTTAAACATTAGGACGAGGATTTTAAACTCAATTCTCTGAGGGATGGGAAGCCAGTGGAGTCGGAGCACAATGTAATGACTGAACAAAAAGGAAATGGATATAATTTCAGGCAGCATTTGAAATTGCAAACAATCCCTTAACCATAATTATAATCATAGGATAAGTACATGCATTTATCACATTTCAGATCTGACCATCCCAAGCTCTACCCGTCAGACCTCCCACCTCTTCCCGACACAAGCCACAGATAATCTCAGAAATCTGCAGTTTTGACCTTTCCCACATTCGGTTCGGTAAGCCTATTCCTCCCATCCTCATCTTGCAACATCGCCTCATATTTTCCAGTGGTCTGAGGTTCTAGATCCTTGCCTCCTCCATTCCCCAATCTCCCTCTTCCCACTGCTCAGTGAGCACCCGCCTACTCAATGTCTCCTGGCTTATTCAACCCCCCTCAGTGGTCTGGCTTTTAAATAAATTCCATCTAGGAATTCCTCCGACTTATCCCCTCCATTATCTGAACCTTCCTCTTTGACCACAACTGTGGTCATCTTTTGCTCCCCAACCTCCCTCAGCTCCCACTCCAGCTCGAGTGGCAAGTCAGGACTGCGGAACATCTTGGGATGTCCTCCTGATGTGTAAGGCACCATATACATATAAATTTGTTGTTATTTTAGTAAAGATCAGTAAAGATTTTAGTAAAGTGCATCATCCATTAATTAATGAGATGCCAGAATGGAAAATTCCTGCAAACATTTGATGTTATAGGTGAAATATTAAATGCAAGAATTATTTAATATTCTGTCCTAAAGATATGAGACTGAGGCTGTCGGGTTGAAAAATGGGATTAAAAATTAAGAATTAATTAGGCAATTCCCAATCCACTGTTACAATGCACAAGTAAGCCTGGTCATTTTTATTTTCGGAAAAAGTCACATATTGTATTTTCCTCAATGATTTCATCCCCACTTTGATAGTCATCACTAACTCCAACTTCCATTACCAAGATATGTTTGTGATTCAGGGACCATTGCAGTGCACAAGTGGTGAGAAATGCTAAAAATAGAATCTTCATAGATGTGAATGAGATTAACCAGAGATTAGTGACCAATTAACTGAACATCTGTAAAAGGGAAATGCTTGAAAGCATTGGAAGATGCCATGTGGAGTGAGCAAGACAGCAAGACAGATTTTTTTTTGTGGAGAAAAGCACACACTCAGATTTGATGGATAGATTGGCCCGTTTCTGTGCTGCAATGCTAGATCTGCGCAGTTTTATGATGCTGTTAGTTATAATAATAATCCTTTTATATGATATAGCACCTTATTACGTCTAAAGCACTTCACGGAATATACTGTAAAGTGAATTGACTGTATATTTTGTGGGCAAAACATGAAGCCAATTGCACACAGCAGTCAATATTCATCCAAACGCACCGATGTTATTAGAAATGGTTAACGTAATCCAACGCAACAACTCTCTGTAGGGCCAGTTTGACTTGGACATTTCAGATTTGAGGATGGTTTTGGCATTTGGAATTGGGGAGCATCCAAGCTCAAACGTTTGTGCAAAAAATCACGGACGTCATGGTAGGGGCTGATGTTTGTGAAATGTGGAAGGAGTGAGCTTGATGAGTCATTGGCCATTTTGATGGCTCGAATGTCCGTTTCTTAGCCAGTGTTTTCTTATGTTTTTGATACTTTGGGGGGGACTTCTCCTTTGCTGGAGGACTGTCTTGCTTTGATTTATGTTACCAGGCAAACTATTTTAAACTGAACTAAATCAGAATTAAATTCCTTTTCCTTCCTTTCTTCTTCCACCTCCTGCACCGAAATATGTGCATGCTTTACATCCCTCTCAAAATCAGTGGGTAAGCACTCTCTACCCCGACACCCTACACCTCGCCTCCTCCTTCCTACGAGCCCATAAAATTCGCAGTCAATTCACTTTCCAGTATATTCTGCGAAGCGCTTTGAGACGTCTCGAAGACGTGATAAGGCGCTATGAGCCTTTATCACCTCAAGGCTGGACTATGGGAACTCTCTCCTCGCCGGCCTTCCCGGCACCTCTCTCCACAAGCTGCAGGTCATTCGGAACTCTGCAGCTCGTGTACTGTCCCGCACCAGGCTTCGGGACCACATCACTCCCACCCTCGCTCGCCTCCACTGGCTCCCCATCCCCCAGAGGATCGAATTCAAGATCCTCATCCTCACCTACAAGGTCATTCACGGTCTTGCTCCCTCCTACCTCTCTGACCTACTATCCCCCTACTTACCTGTCTGTACCCTCCGTTCCTCTGGCTCCGGTCTGCTCCACATCCCCCGCCCCAACCGCCCTACCATCGGTGGCCGGGCCTTCAGCCTCTCAGCCCCGAGGCTCTGGAACTCTATCCCCCAGTGCCTTTGCCTTGCTTCCTCCCTTTCCTCCTTCAAGGCCGGTCTCAAGACCTTTCTCTTTGACCGTGCCTTCAGCTCCCATCTCGACTCTCTACCCCCTCCTCGCTCCCTCCCTTCTCTCCCCTCACCCTGACCATTTCCCCCCTGCTCGGGTCCTGACCCAACTGTACAGCGCCTTGGGACGTCCTCCCGACATGAAAGGCGCTCTATAAATGGAATCTTGTTGTTGTTGTATATCAAATGCAAGGATTATTATTACTATTATTACTCCTTCGAAGCTCAACTTAAGACCTTTCTTTCGACTGGTCATCTTTTCAAGTCTCTAGCACAGGCTGGTCCAATTAGTGACCCGTGGGCCACAACATGCCTGGGGGATGCTTTATTCCAGCCCAAGAACACAGTCACACTATCTGACCTAGTGGGAAAAACATCAGTGGCAACAGTAGAACCTGTCAATCACTTTCAAACTAACAACATTGGAGACACATAGAGAAAGAAAGAGAGCGATACAGAGATACACATAGACAGGTACAGAAACACACGGACAGAGGGAGAGACAGATATTGAGACAGACACAGAGAGAAAGACACACACATAAAGACAGAGAGAGATACA